CCCGGCCCGGCCCGGGCTCCCGCCGCCCCGGGACCCGGTCCGGCCCGCGGCCCACAACGACTCCCGGGTCGCCTTTCCCTCCCTCGCCCTCCCTCTTTTCCCCCGCCCCGACCGGGCCGGCACTCACTCAGGGAAGGAGGAGCGGCCCGGGCCTGCGCGTCACTTACGCCGACGTCCTGCGTCACCGCGTCGAGCACCGGCTGACGCGGACGCCTTTTGAGCGCCGACCAAGGAAAACGCAGGCGACGCCCCCGCTTTTCCCTCCTAGGGCTGGGGCGGAGCGAGCCTAAGGATTTGGCCCTCGCTGAGGGCGAGACCGCGCGCTTTGGGAAGAAGATATCGGGCTGCTGTGGGTTTAGGCCTATTCAAGGCCTGGCTGGGCGAGGCGAGCCTAAATAGCCGCTCTTCCACTTCCAATCCTCCCCGCTGACTGGAGCTACAGACGCTCAAAATAAACTCGCTAACCGTTCCCAGTGTGCTTTAATTCCGCGGCTCCTCCCGCCCAGCCTCGCCCCGCCCTGTTTCCTCCCAAGCCATAGGTCGGCCTGCCTTTCCCAGCTCCAGACCCTCCCACTCTCCTTGTCATCCCTCAAATCCTTTCCTTCCCTGCTCTCCCCTCCCGGGCCGGAATTCGCCCCACACCTTTCCCTACCCTTAGGCTGCGGCTCGCCCTCCATTATCTCCGCGAAAGCCTCGGTGCTCAGTCCGCTCGCACCCAGCTGGCGCACCAGCCCCGCTGCCCGGCGGCAGCGGCGCGGGCTGCGACCGCCACGGGGGCGAGCACGTTCCAGCCACCCGGGATCTTCCTCCCCTGTGCCCGCCCCTGGCGCGCCGGGCGGGCAGCACGTGTTTGCTATGCTCAGAAACCTGAATCAGCTCGGAATTATTTACACTTGCAGTCCCTCCTCAAAGAGAGCCAAACCAAAAAACCAAAACAGTTGCCTTCAAGTCGATTCCGACTCATAGAGGCCAGTGATCCATAATCGCCTGCACATGACTGGCTCATTCAGTCATCCAAAGAAATGCTTCTTGAGGATGATATGATGGTTGAGATTTACTTATTCTCTTCTCTCAAGTAGTTTGGGAATGGGATTTAGGCAAGAATGCAAATAGCTACATGCAAGGATGAATATAATTGTAGCTGATAGTCGCTGAGAGCCAACGATGTGCTAGGCACTGTGTAAGGAGCCGGAAAACAGCAGTGAACAAAACACGTGTAGTCCCTGACCTCCGAATTGTAGTCTAATAGAGTCGATAGATATTTTGAATAGTAATCGCCTGGGTACTGGCTGCTGAGTGTTATGAGAAGCTAAGAACAAGGTAATCTAGGGGTCAAAGAAAGCCAGTGACCTACAAGAAGAAATACAAAGTTTTAGTGTTCTAGCCAAGGGTACAGCACATGTAAAGGTGCTAAGAGTATAGCATTCCAGGAACAGAAAGCATGATGCTGGGTCAGACTTTTGGGGGCCTTGTAAGCCATGTTAAAGGTGTGAGATTTTCTTTTAATACCTAGGGCCTTGAACAAAGTCTAGCAAGGTGGTGACAGCATAAGATTAAAAAAAATGATTCAACAGTTAAGAGTTCGGCTGTCTGCTGCTAACTGAAAGGTTGGCAGTTCGAACCCACCCAGCTGCCCTGCTAGGAGAAAGACCTGCTCCTGCAAACATTACTATCTTGAAAACCCTGTGGAGCAGTTCTACTCTGTCATATGGGGTCAAAATTCACTCGATGACATCTAAAAACGCTACAACAGCCCTGTCTTAGTCATCTAGTACTGCTATAACAGAAATACCACAAGTGAATGTCTTTAACAAACTGACATTTATTCTCCACAGTCTAGTAGACTAGAAGTCGGAATTCAGGGCACCAGCTCCAGGGGAAGGCTTTCTGCCTCTGTTAGCTCTGGGGGAAGATCCTTGTCATCAATCTTCCCTGGTCAAGCACAGGGACCACAGGTCCAAAGGATAAGCTGTTCTCCTGGCTCTTGTTTCTTGGTGGTATGAGGTCCCCCATGTCTCTCTGCTCATTTCTCTCTTTTATATCTCAAAAGAGATTTGCTTAAAACACAACCTAACCTTGTAGATTGAGTCCTGCCTCATTAACATAACTGCCTCTAATCCCACCTCATCAACATCATAGAGATAGTATTTATAACACGTAGGAAAATCACATCAGATCACAAAATGGTGGACAATCACACAATACTGGGAATCATGGCCTAGCCAAATTGATCCACATATTTTTGGGGGACACAATCCATGACAAGCCCCAATATGGAGAATGGATTAAATGGGACAAGAGTCAAGGAGTAGGGAGACTGCTAGAAATCTACGTAAAACCATGGTGACAGATGGGACCTAGAGAGCTAGATGGATTCTGGAGATAGAATCAATAGGGCTTGCTGATTCAATGGCTCTAAAGCATGTCGTAAGTACTAAATATATATTGCTGGCTCTAATCATAACAAGAGAGAAGAAATAGTCAAGGATAGTTCCTGAATTTCTGGCTTGAGCCTGTGGATTGGTGATATTGTTTATCAAAATAGGGAATGCAATTGGGGAGCTGGCTAAGGAGAGAGGAAAGAGAGGGGAGGGGTACTTTCAAAGAGACAGCTAAGTGGAGATGTCAAAGAGGCACTTGGATATATGGTCCTGTATATTACTTTCCTTGCCCCTAAAGCATTTGAGTTTGGACTCCTGATCTATAGGGTCAAAACAGAAGAGGGTGTAGGACTTTAGCCCTGAGGAGTATTATGTAATGTTTACGGATTGAGTAGAAAAGGAAGAACCTGTAAGGACTGAGTATGGCAGCTGGAGAGATAGGAGGAAACCCAGAAGAGGGTGACATCAAAGAGGCCATGAAAGAAGAGTGTTTCAAAAGAAAGGGTTTGATCAGCAGTGCTAAAGGCTGCCAAGTGGACAAGCTAAATAGTGGGAATGGTCCATTAGATTTAGCATTGTAGATGCCTTTGGTAGAAGATATTAGCAAGAACAGTTTTAGTGGAGTTCTGGTGGAAAGAGCAGGAAGGTGAGCAGTCCATATCCAAGCAAGTTAAGGAATAATTAGGTAAAGAAATTGAGATGGCAAATGTAGAACTCTCATTTAAAAATGAAGGAAGAAAGGAGTACCCATGGAGGGTGATGGATTGAGCCAGTTTTAATTTTTTGTGTTTTTAAATGGGAGAGACTTGAGCAATTTTAATGCTGATAGGGAAGGATCCAGCAGAGGGAGATGATAAAAATACAAGAGCAAAAGGGACAAATTGTGCAAGAGAGGGAGACACTAGAGAAGATGAGATTGAGAGAATAGGTGAACAGATCAGCCTTAGAGGGGTAGGAGGACTCTCTTCCATTATCAAAGAAGGGGTTAATGGATCAACTGTTCTTAAGAGTGTATATTTGTTTGCAAGAAGTTGAGGGAATACCTATCTAACTGAAAGCCTCTACTTTCTCCATGAAATAGGTGGCCAGGTCATCTACCAAAAGCCGAGAACAGGAGAGGAATGGTACATGTTAGGGATGGAGAAGGTTGAGACTGAATGATGTATTATCTCTGGCTGTGCAACAAATTGCTCCAAAACATGGCGGTTTAAAGCAATAAACATTTATTACAACACAGTTTCTGTGGGTCAGAAATCTGGGTGCAGCTTAGCTGGGACCTCAAAATTTCTCACAAGGCTCCAATCAAGGTGTCAGCTGGGATTTCAGTCTTCTCAAGCCTGGGCTGGGGGAGAATCAGATTCCAAGTGGTTAATGACAGAATTCAGTTCCTCCTGGGCTATTAGAATGAGGACTTCAGTTCTCTGCAAGGCTTCTCTCAATCTTTTGTGAAGTGGGCCTCTCCATAGGGCAGCATACAACCTGGCAGCTGGATTCCATCAGAGAGAACAAGTGAAAAAAAAAAATCAAATCCATTGCCCATGAGTTGATCTTGAGTCATAGTGACCCTATAGGACAGAGCAGAACTGCCCTATAGGGTTCCTCAGGAGCAGCTGGTGGACTCCAACCTTTTGGTTAGCAGCCAAGCTCTTTAACCACTACATAAACCAAAGTCTTTGAAACCTAATCTCAGAAGTGACTTCCCATCACTTTTGTCGAATTCTTCTTGATAGAAGCAAGTTAACAGGTCCAGCCCATACTCAAATAAGGTAATTACACAATCACATGAATACTAGGGGGCATGATCATTAGGAGCCATTGTAGAAGCTACCTACCACAGAACAGATTTGAAATGGATCTTGGAGAAGTAACATCACAGTAGTATCAACAGGAAACACAGTCGCATTAACAGGATCAACTAGAAGTTGGCAACTTCAGGAATTTATATGATAGCAGTCTACTGGACATTGTGATTTCCTCCAGAAGCATTCAGTAGTCAGATGTGTATAATGATAGGTGATATATAAATGAGAACAGTGTTAAACAGTTAGATTTTGTGCCAGTTGATAACAACCAGGTTTATAGATTTTCTCTGGAATTAAATGGAGTCTTCAAATTTAAGAAGAAATGACAGCTCTGGCTACCCGAGCGGAATCCCTTTATATGTTTCAAGGTAACACAGGGAAGGAGATAGCATGATAGTTAAGACCATTGGTTTGAGAGATAGCTTAGGTTGAAATCTTGGTTCAACTTACTAGCTGGGAGATGTTAGGCAAGTTGTTTAACTTTATTAAGCTTCCTTAATGCATGGAAAGCAATTAGATTAGTACCTGTACATACTAAACGTTCAGTAAATAGTTGTTATTGTTATGTCCAAGTATAGGGCTTTTATTCAACCACTAGAATTATTTAGAAAGCTATATTTGGATCAAAAAATGAGGTCATCTTTACGACTGCCAGAAGGAACTAAAAATTAAGGGTGTTTCCCATTGAGTCCACAGATACAGCAAACTGAAAAAAGAATCATGACAAATCCAAATTTTTTTTGAGGGGGGTCAGATGGGTACATAATTTTCTAAATAAGCCATAAATAAGAGACTGACAGAATTCCTGCAACATGGCGCTCTAGGCAGAAGCACCACACTGTCCCTCTACAGCAAAGATCCGAAAAACTAAGCCAAACAGAGAAAACAGCAATCCTGAAACCCTAAGCATCAAATGAAGAGATAAAGAACTCAGCCAAGCACCAAATGGAATAAGAAACTGACAGAGAACAGAGAGCAAGGAGACATACATGCAGAGGTAACCTATCAACTAACGCAGCACGGATCCGCCATCTTGGACTCCTATCAGAGACCAGCAGACAGGGGATACAAGAAAGCAGCTTCATGGAGCTTCCAGCAGGAGATAGAATAACCAGTAACCAAAGATATATGCTTTCCCACCCCCTTCTTCACCTGCACTTGGCCTCCTCTGCTTCCCGTGGCTGGGAAGCACCAGTTGCTTGGATTCCGCCCACCTGCACTGGCCAACTCCCTGGGTGCCATTTGTTAGCTGCAGGTGCAGGTGTTGCTTTTTGCTGCTGCTTTTGATTTCTTCCTTGCCTCTCGCTGCCTCCCCCTCCTTTCCCTTGAGTGCCTGGCTCTGTGCGCCATCTTTGCTTCTTCCTGAAAGGCTGTGGAGCTCTGCTTGAGTGTGGGACTGCTTCCCGGTCTGTGCTGCTGTGCTGGTGGGATCCTGGGTCTTTTTTGTTTGTTTGTTTTGAATTGTTTGTTTGTTTTATTTTTATTTTCTTGAATTGGGGACCCGTTCTGGCCGGGCAGTGCTGGGCGGCTTGGGACCTACCCCCTCAGCTTGCACAGATGTA